TTTATTTATTTGGCAGACAGAGATTACAAGTAGGTGGAGAGGCAGGCAGAGAGAGAGGAAGGGAAGCAGTCTCCCCACCGAGCAGAGATCCTGATGCGGAGCTCGATCCCAGGACCCTGGGATCATGACTAAGCCCAAGGCAGAGGCTTTAACCCACTGAGCCACCCAGGTGCCCCCCTAATCTACATTTCCGATGGGCATGTGCTGGAGCCTGGCCTTTGAACACGCTTGCAAAGGCAAGAAGATCCTCAGGGAAAAAACCACTTCTGTGAAGACCCAGGAAAGCAGTGCAACAGGGTAAGAAACCGTGCAAAGGGCAGAAAGTACCTTTGGCAGCTGAACCTAGAAATGGGTTCTAGGACCTTGTCTAACACATAATTAGAGATCTTAGTGTTAAGTTTCTCTCAGCCTCTACTCCCTTGCCTATAAACTAGGAAGATTTGTCCTGACCCTGCACTCCTTAAGGTGTAAAATGAGGTTACTAAAGAAGTGGGAAAGGTGGGAGAAGCTAAGCGCCATTATTCCTGAAATAATTCGGGGGGAGGTTTGAGTTTTTCCGTTTTGCTCTTGGTCATACCTCCTGCATGTTGTCTGCTTCCTACTCTAGCTTTCCTGGGTCTGGCCTGGCCCCTCAGAAGCATGCTGCCCTTCACAGGCTCTCTCCTTTTTCCTTCATACTTCAGCCCCCTCATGCTTGTCTTTCATCAGCATGATGTTGAGTCATGTCCTCCCCAACTCTAGGCTCATCTGGCTGCTCTCACACTAATCTCTTTCCCACCTGATTCCTGGTAACCCCATGTCACTCTCTGAGGAAGCAACAAGGAAAACTTGAAACAAAACGAAGTCAACTTCAAGAAGGTTCATTATCCAAGAAAGAGGTTTGGGGACGATGTTGGAAATTGCAGATGGAGCCCCTTTTGGGTGCAGTGGGTGTGGCGGTTTTGCCTGAGAAGGCACTGCTCCAGTTATCTCCTAAACAATTCCAAATAATCCCAAAATGCAGACAATACAGAAGTAACCTGTTGTGGAATATGCTAGGAAAGGAACCCTGGAGCCAAGCCAGAGAGCCACAAAATGTCCTGAACGGAGTCTTTAAAAAATAGTCAAGAGGTTTCTAAAACAGGCAAATAAAAAAAATAAATAAATAAGGTAAATCACAAAAACGTAATTACCTAGACAGTTTTTTCTTTCTTTCTTTTTTTTTTTATTTTCTTATTTGAGAGAGAGAGAGCAGGAAAGCACAAGCAGAGGGAGAGGGAGAAGCAGGCTCCCCGCCGAGCAGGGAGCCAGGTACGGAGCTCCATCCCAGGACCCTGAGATCATGATCTTGGTTGAAGGCAGAGGCTTAACCAACTGAGCCGCCCAGGCATCCCATTTTTCTTTTAAACAAATACACACAGGATAAATGAAAAACATAGTACAAAATGTAAGTCTTCCAATATATTTCAGGCCCCACTCCCATTTCCCAAAAATAACCCCCATCAATACTTTCTTGTATATACTTCCAAAATTGTTACATATAAATACATCTATAGCCAAAAAACAAAAACCACAAAACAAGCAGGAGCCACTCTCTTACACCCTATTCTGTATCTTGCTTTTTCAAATGTAACCAAATATCTGAGAGTTATTATAGCCTTGTTGCAAGAAACAGAAACTGATCCGCTTGGTTAACCAGCATAATGGAGTTTTATAGGAAAGACAAGGATTGAAGGGAAAATTGAAGAACCACTAATCTTGAGAAAGAAAGAAGGAAGCTCCAGGTCTTCACAGGTAAAATTCTTAAAAGTTTTACCCCAAGCCTCCAATGTTTCTCCCATCGTCACCCTGCTTAAGATTCAAAACCCAGAGGGGAGAAGTTTTTTGTTTCTTAAGATTTATTTATTGGGGCACCTGGGTGGCTCAGTTGTTAAGCATCTGCCTTCAGCACAGGTCATGATCCCAGGGTCCTGGGACTGAGCCCCACATCTCCCTCTCCCACTGCCCCTGCTTGTGTTCCCTCTCCCGCTGTATCTCTGTCAAATAAATAATAAAATATTAAAATTTAAAAACCAACAATATTTATTTATTTGAGAGAGAGAGGGAGGGAGAGCGAGCTTGAACAGGGGGAGCAGCACAGGGAGAAGGAGAGAATCCCCAGCAGGCTTCCTCGTAAGTGTGGAGCCGGCCATGGGGCTCAATCTCACGACCCTGAGAGCATGACCTGAGCCAAAACCAGGAGTCTGACAAGTCAGACTTTAACTGAGCCACCAAGGTGCCCCACCCACCCAGAGACGTTTATAGCATCTTATGCGCCCTCCCACTGGACAGATTGGAGGAGTTGGAAAGATCTTCCAGAGATCCCTTCAGTTTATATTCTGGGAGGACAAACATTTAGAGTTGATACCCCACTCCCCTCTGACAAAGTACGCGATGAAGGAGAGACCAGTCCACAAGAGAAATAGGATACTGTTAGGAAATGGACATGGAGATCAGCAGGCCAAAAAATAAAAAAAATACCACTGAGGTTTCAGGACATGAAAACCTACCTCACTGCATATAATTGCAAAGTCTTTTATAATTTATTTAATCATTCCCTTGTAATGGACAACTACAGCAGTCAAGAAAAAAGGCCTATGACAACATGCTAAAAAGGATAAGATTTTTGGGGCACCTGGGTGGCTCAGTCCCCTAAGCATCTGACTCTTGGTTTCGGCTCAGGTCACGATCTCAGGATGGTGAGATCAAGCCTGCGTGGGGCTCTGCGCTCAGCAGGGGAGTCTGCTTGAGATTCTCTACCCCCCCACTCCCTCCCCCACACTCTCCCTCTCTCAAAAATAAGCAAAATCTTTTAAAAATAATTAAAAAAAAAAAAAAAGAGGGGCACCTGGATGGCACACTTGGTTGAGCATCTGACTCTTGATTTCAGCTCAGGTCATGATCGCAGGGCTGTGGGATCGAGCCCTGTGTGGGGCCTCGCCCTCAATGCAGAGTCTTCTAGTCCCTCTTCCTCTGCTCCTCCCTCTGCTCTTGCACACACACTCTTTCTCTAAACTTTCTCTCTCTCTAAACTAAATAAACTCATTAAAAAAAAAAAAGATTATTCTTGAGGCCCATTATTCCTCATTCTTACTCCTATCCTCACTTTGAAATAAAAGGTCTTGCCTAGTGCTGGAGCATATGGTCAATGCTCAGTAAACAACATGCTTTCAGTTAGTGAATAATTTGGGGTTGAAGACGTCTTTTCCTCTGGATCTTTGTGGAACAATGGCTTAGGCACTGGGAATAAGTATGCTCCTAGCACCATCTGCTGGCATTGGTTAACCTTTCCTGAATCATGGCCTCCAAGTCTCTTTCCGCCAGTATTGTTAATTGCCCTGAAATTCCTCTTCTTAATATTTTCATTACCGCAGAACTTACCTCTTATCTGTACATAGATACAGTTACAAAATAGTGACTTATTTTTGTTCCTTGTTTACTATCTAATAAATGTTTTACACTTTGGTGATCCTTGTTTTTGCCTTTTTGCAAAGTAAGACACACATGAAACCCTGAGTGAGGAGCCTCGTATCAGTCTTGAACTCCAAAGACTGTGTTGTCCTTTGACGTTTATTCATAGGTAATGAGCTCTGTGTAGGGCACTATCTTTCTGGTTGGACTAGTTACATAGCACATACCAATATGATGCTTTGAGCTTATTTAAAAAGCCCCTGTAAGTGCCCACTATTGTGACAGGAGTTGTAGAAGACAAAAAAGCATGAGGTAAGTTCCCTGCCTTCAGAGCACTCCATCTAATCAGGGTAAGTCGAACAGTATAGGATAAAGTCCATGGTGATGCCTGTAAGTGCCCATTGTCAAGTGATGACATTGGGATACATACTGGGCTAGACATCCAAAGCCTGGAGACATTTTTGTCATATCTGGGATGGGGGTGCTACTGGCATGTAGTTGGTCGAAGCCTGGGATGCTGCTAAACACCCCCACAAGGCACAGAGAGCCCCCACATAATAAAGAATTATCTAGCCAAAAAAAGCCGGTAGTGCCAAGATTGAGAAGCCTCCGCTATACCTTTAGCAACTGCCATGAGCGAGGCAGTTATGGCCCCTGCCCTCCTAGTATCATGAAGAAATATTAAAAATAGGGGCACCTGGGTGGCTCAGCTCTTAAGCATCTGCCTTTGGCTCAGGTCATGATCTGAAGCTTGGGATCACTTTGAAGCACGCTTAAAAAACAGAGTATCAACCCCTCAACCTCCCACTGAATGAAAATCTGCATTTTCACAAGACCTTCAGGGGATTACTATGCATATTAGTGCTGGAGACAGCGCTACGCTGGAGGGTTTTCACTGTTTTATGAAGACCAGGAAAGAAGGCAGCAAATTCCGTGGTGAGAGCCATAGCAGGGAAGATTGTGAGATGGCGGGAAAAATTCCTAGTTTTCGATCCAGCACTACTAACTAACATAGTGTTGCCTGCTTACAGTCAGACATTGTGCTAAGCGCTTTATATCGAGTATTTCACATCATCCTCCTAACGCTATTAGGCAGGTCCATTTTAGGGGTAAAGCAAACCAAGGTCCGCTGGGACCAGTACTCCGGGACGCACCGACCGCGCCAGGCCGATGGAATCGAAGCTGCATTCTCTGCCACCCGAAGTCCTCCACAAACACCTCCACCCACACGTAAGAGCCAAAGTCACGGCTCCAGCTCTCTCCACCCAGCAAGGGACAACCACGCCAGGCGGTCCTCCCTCCCGGACTCGCGCGGCCGCAGGGAAACCCGGAGGAGCGGCGCGCCCTCCACCCCGGAAGTCGTAGGTGCAACGAGGGAAGCGGCTTTGTTTTTGAGCTCCGCCGGCAGCATCAAAATAATACAGCGTCAAGGAACAGGGCGGGATTTGAAGATGACACAGACCCTAAAGGGCTTGGAAGCAGTGAGAAGAACGTTTTGTGCAGCATTTAGCAGGAACCTGTGTTAGCGAGACCTCAGCGGTTCACGGCCGCTCGCTGGGCGCCGGCTGCCGGGGTGGTACGCCGGGAGCTGGAAGACAGGTCTCTATGGTCAAGTAACTATAGAGCGGGCCTCTCTTCCCCCACGTGGTGGGGCTGCGCATGAGCAGTCGTCGCAGCTTCGGAAACATGGCGGAGGAAGAGTGAGTGTTTGGGATTTGAATTTCTCCAGTGGGGTCTTGAACATCTGGTACCATCCACAGTGTTTATTCCGTAGCGGCGGGAAATAAGGATACTTGTGGCCTGAAGGAAAAGATTAGAATAGACTCCACATTACAGAGGGTGGGATGAGGAGGAAGGAGCCGTAGGGTTCGGGCTGACGATCAGACGGAGGGAGCCGCCGTCAAGTTTGGGTTCCCTTGAGCGGAGAGGATTGAGTTTCTGGCCGCGGACTGAAGAGTGCCAGGCTTGGGTTCACTCAGCCTGGCTTAAGTGTTAGCCCTGCTGATGGAACTGCAGCTGTCCCAACCCCACAGGGTTTTACGGGAATCACGTAGCTCCTAGTGTGATTTAAAAGGCTGTGGTAGTAAAAGCTCCTTGGAGGCAAACGGGGGGTTAGTGGCCAAGGGGTTCATGACTTTACTGCTTTAGGAAAGAGTGAATGTTAAGGGGTCCGTTTTGAGGACTGGAGTCAGAAATCACAGGTTTCAGCGAAGTCTGTCTTCAGGAATTTGAAGAGCGTGATGTTGCTCGAAGACCAAGAAATGGTTTAGAAATCCATTAACATTTATTTTTTAAACATTACCGCTGATTGCAATTTTCCCTATCAGGCAAAGAAAAAAGATCCCGTTGGTTCCAGAAAATCTCCTGAAAAAGAGGAAGGCTTATCAGGCCCTTAAAGCCACTCAAGCAAAGCAGGCACTTTTGGACAAGAAGGAGGTAACGATAGGGAACCAAGAGAAGGGAATTAGAATGTGTATTTGGTGAGTTGTATCTACAGTGTTTGAACTAGATTTGGTATGGACAGTCCTTCCCGCATAGATTCTAAGAGGTATATGGTTCATGTCTTACTTTAACAGGTATTTATAAGACAGTTTCTGCAGGTAAAATACTGGAGTAGAGTTTGTTAAGGAAAAAAATGGAATAGACATTGTACTGTTCAGGCTCAGACTAAGTGATTTGAAAGACCAAACATGCTTGTATACCTGGAAGAAAATGTATTTTTTTTCAGATAGGGCAGACAACTTTTGCTGTTTGCTCACTGTTTTTGGAAATTACATATTTTGGAGTCAGGACAATGAAAGGGGCTCATGCTTATTCTGTACTTCATGAAGCTTAACCCAGTGTTAGAGTCTATAAACATGGGTTGGTAAACATTGGCTAACGGCCTGTAAACTAACGTGTTTATTCATTGGAGGCGCTTCCTAGTACTTTATGAGTTTTCATACCTCCACCTTCACTTGGGTGTCTCATTTTTCCCTTACATGGAAGATGTGCTTCTGTTTAAGGAACACAGTGGGAAACACACTCAATTGATACTGACTAATGAATTACTATTGTAGAAATAAAAAATGGACACACAAAATGGTGACAATGGTCTGCCTTCTCTGTAGCAGAAGAAAGGAAAACAGCTCAAGTTTAAGCGACTGGAATGGTTCTTACATGATTCCTGGCGGCAGCAACGTGACAGGGTGCGCCTCAGAAGACTAGAAGTGAAACCTCGTGGCCTGGAAGTGCCAGATAAACATTCCTTGGCCTTTGTTGTACGCATCCAAAGGTGGGAAACTTGTCAGATTCCATAGGCTGGAGCAGACTGTTGGTTCAGCTTTAGACCCTTTTCTAGGGAGATGAACACAGTAGGCTTTAAGCCACTAAGGCAAGTTATGCTGGGAATTCAGGGTTGAGCACAACATAGGTTTCATCTGTAAGGTTAAGGAGACTGACCTTAGGCAGACAGGCATGAAAATAGACCCAGTGCTAGGACGGTCAACTGTTGCCAGGCCCGTACTGGTTTAAGACACTTTAAAGCAGGAACTTGAAGCTGAGACCTGGGGGAGGACTTTCTAGGTGTAGAAAATTCTGAATTGGGGACCATTCTTTTTTTTTTTTTTTAAGAGTTTATTTATTTGAGGGGCGCCTGGGTGGCTCAGTTGGTTAAGGCTCTGCCTTCTGCTCAGGTCATGATCCCGGGGTCCTGGGATCAAGTCCCACATCAGACTCCTTGCTCAGTGGGGAGCTGCTTCTCTCTCCCCCTGCTGCTCCCCCTGCTTGTACTCACTCTTTCAAATAAATAAATATATATATTTTTTTAAAGATTTAGTTTATTTGATAGAGAGCATGAGGAGAGGGGAGGGGCAGAGGAAGAGGAAGAAAGAGGCTTCCTGCTGAGCAGAGAGCCTGCCATGGGGCTCAGTCCCAGGACTCTGGGATCATGACCTGAGTGGAAGGCTGACACTTAACCAGCTGAGCCACCCAGGTGCCCTGCAAGGAGTCTTTCTAGGAACTGAACTAAGGTCAAGTAGAGAAGCATATTTAGTGCTGGAGAGAGTTCTTAAAGCTTTTTCCTTATTTAGTTGTACTTTTCTCAGTCGACCTGCAAGTACAGCTACCTTTTCCTATTTCCCATACCCAGTCAGCCAAACCAGAAACCTGCGGGCTTTAAATACTTTTGAGCCGTTGTTACTAACCTTTCCTACCGCTTCGCTTCCCAGAATCTCTTTCCTAGACTACCACGTTAGCTTCTTAACTGGGTTTCCCTGCCTCTGGTGTCACACTTTCAGATCTGTCCAGTATGCTCTTCTCAGTGATTGTCAAAAAGAAAGTGGAGTGTATCTCCTTTACCTAGAATCTGTCATGCCTTTACTGCCCACAAGTCGTCTTCTTTGGTTTGACATGCACAGCCCTACACATACAGAATCGGGGCCCATCTCTGTGTTCCTGTAGCCCTCAGGCGTTGCTCCACATCATGTAAGAGTGATCTCTCTATATGCCTGCCAGCTCCTGGCGTGACCTGTAAGACAGTTTGTGTCCTGCTCTCCGGATGCCCTGTAGTGGCAAACATTTTGTAGGTGCTTGCTGGACTGACATAAACTGGAGATAACCTGACTTCCTGTGCTCTGCATTTCAGGATTAATGGGGTGAGTTCACTGGTGCAGAGGACCATTGCAAGGCTTCGCCTGAAGAAGATTTTCAGTGGTGTCTTTTTCAGAGTAACCCCCCAGACCATAAAAACGCTGCGTGTAGTGGAACCTTATGTGGCCTGGGGGTGAGTAAGGTGTGTGTGCGTGTGTGTGTATTCATACTAAATTGTATTTGAGCATGAGGAGAACATTAGGATGCCCAGGGTGCTGTTCTCCAAGCCTAGGAGCTCATATTGCTATTTCAAAGAAACATTCTGTTGTGACCACGGTCACCAGAAATCAGCTGCTGGCCGTGAAACTTGGGAACACGGGGCAGGTAGATCAGGAGGTACCCATGCTGCTGCTGACGCACCATGAACAGTACCCCAGTGGGCGCGTTCACTTGCAGGCTAAGGCTGAGTCAGGGGTAGAAGAGAAATTAACTCTTGGAGTCTTGAAGCAAGCTAAGGGCCGTGCTTGTGTAAAAGTTGTGTTCCTTCAAATGAAATGAAAACCCGGCAGAGGCCGGGATTTAATTTCAAACTCTGGCCCCATCTTGGGTAGAGGGTCATCCGAGGCCAGAGTCCTGAACTGTAAGTCAGCACTTGTTTTATTCTTGCCTGGGAAAGTAAAAATTTTTTTGCATGGTGAATGTTTATATCCATATATTTTAATTTCTAATTACATAGTCAGGGCCACTCTGGTTTTCTGCCCTCTTCACTTGTGTACTTCCAAGCACCCCGGCTGCATCGTGATTGCAGGAGATATCTTGGTGGGAAGAAGGGGTGGTGGGAGAATCTCTCCTCAGCCGGGCTACAGGACTGAGTGGCCAGTGCCACACCGTGTGCCACGGCCTGATGAGGCTGTACTTCATTCGGTCTCACATAGGTTTCCAAATCTGAAGTCTGTCCGGGAACTCATCTTGAAACGTGGACAAGCCAAGGTCAAGAATAAAACCATCCCTTTGACAGATAATACAGTGATTGAGGAGCACCTGGGTGAGTGTTGCACTTAGGGGTCAGTAGGGATAGAAAGCAAGGATTTCTGGTGGTCTTGATGTCAGATCTAGGTTGTATTCTTCTTGGGGTCCCAAGAAACCACCAGAGTGCCCATCTCGGGCATGTAAGAGCCTCGTGGTTTATACTGAGCCAAATGTTGAGTGAAGGAATCTCTACCCTTGTTTCCCAGGGAAGTATGGTGTTATTTGCCTGGAAGACCTCATTCATGAAATTGCCTTTCCGGGGAAGAATTTCCAGGAGATCTCTGCATTCTTACGTCCTTTCCATCTCTCAGTGGCCCGTCACACTACCAAGAATAGAGTGGGCTTCCTGAAGGAGGTGGGCTTACCTGGCTATCGAGGTGAACGCATCAATCAGCTCATTCGACAGTTGAATTAAACCCAGGTGAGGCTAGAAACTGCCCTTGGGCTGACTTTCAATGGACCATGCTTTGCCAGTTAAAAATCCTTTTTTGCATTTACTAGTATCTGAAAGTGACTGGCATTGGCGGGAGAGAGGAGATGGGTAGCTACAAGTCTAACAGATAGAAATGTGCTTGGGGCAGTGAATTCCTGGGTAAGACATGGGGCTATGTGGATTCCAGCAGTTACAGGCTAGAAAATGCTGTACTGCTGTGGTCATTTGGCCTAGAAATGGGGAGAGAATAAAAACCAATTTCAAAAAGGATGTAAAGATCTAACCCATCTATTTTGTTAAAAGTATCTTAATTTTTTGAAATTGATTATTACTAATATGTGGTGCCACCTTTCATTAAACTTCTATTAATGAATTTGTGTTTTTCTTCCTCAGCATATCTGAAAACACAGCACATCGGTGGCGCGTGTTTTGTCTCTTAGAATTGTTACCAGTATCTTCGAAGAAGATTATTTTCTGTTATATCTTGAGAAACTAGAGGAAGGGTCAGGGAAAAAATGATGATGATCTGGCAGGCATTTGTCATCACAGCCCAGTTCCAAGGGAAAGTTCCAGTGTGTTTTCCACGTTGCCTACCCCCACCACCTCTGACGTCAGCGAAAGACTCCTGCCACGGAAGGGGAAGTTCTGCCGTGTCACATCTTCTATCCTGGGGTTTAAAGTTGGTGAACGAATACCCAGGCATGAATACAAGACAGCAGTGGACCAACCTCAGGGACGTACTTGAACCTAGGGGTTTCTAGGGCCTTGTTTTGGAAGGAACTTGAAATACAACTACAAAGAAGAACACAAAAACAGTGCTCAGTTGTCTCTGCTGTGAGTCCCTGTTCTCGCTTTTCAGTGACAGCTTTGCAAGGTCTCAGACTTGGATGGCCCTGAGGTGTATCTGGTGGCTTCCTTAGCCTAGCCGTGATTGACCTAATCCTTTTCTTTAGCTCAGATTCTTAACCTATTCTTGGGTCTGTGAGAAGGGAAAGACCCTTTTTCCAGGAAAATACATATATTCAGATTTTCTCTTAGAAGTTTCTCTGTTCATAGACTCTTCATAGGGAGCCATGCATGTTACGTGAGGAAGTCCTGCACTACCTGCATTGGTCACCTGGGCCCTGACCTTGTTAGTCTCCTCTGGTCCCGTATCCTGTGGAAGACCAAAGCTTACCAAGATAGCTTTCTCCCTTGGAGCCAATTGGGTGTTTCCTATTAGCAACACAGTGGTAGATTTCTGAGCTCCCATGCCATCTACCTTAGGGAAATGCCCACCATTTATTTCTGCTGGGCTTCAGGATGAAATTTTCTTTGGCATGGATGTCATTTAGGCTTCATTGGACCCTCTCCTTGCATATTCTAGACTGCAGAAGTATTGCTGTCTATCCCACTGATGGGATCCCACGATGCCATAGGACAATACCGAGGCTCCCAGGGACTGAGACCTAAAAGTGGGATCTGATCATGCTTGTGTTTATCATCTGTGTCCCCCTCCTAGGTGGCCCTTCCTCTGCTTCTGTCACTTTGTTGCCTCAATTGCCATCTGAGTAGTTGGTGAGGCTGTGCCAGGTATAGGTCAAGACTCGGAAACATGCTTAACCATTGTGTGCCCTGGTCCCTTAAGATCAGCTTTGCTGCACTTTTGGCTCATGGGGCCCTCAAACATAGCTGTGAGGTTGAGTTAGAATGAGAACAATGCCTTAAAATGTGCCAGGTTATGAGGTAATTAATTAGGTTGGTTGGTTCAAGAGTTAACCTGCCAAGAATAGATGTTAGAGCTTACACTTAAACTTTAAAGCATTGTGAAATCAAATTACTTTAAAATGACGTATCAGAAAGCCATGGGAAAAGAGCATTTTTGAGTGTGGAAGCACAGGGTTTCTGTCACAGATCTATTTTATACTAAATACAGGAATAATGTTTCCATCTTGCCTGCAGAATCGGACTCTAGTCTAACGTGTGTGCCTCATTCAGCGCAGTTCAAAGGTTTAAAGAAAAGAATACTTTTTAACTTATAATTTTATGGAAATAGATGTTATAAAAATGCCCTACTGTATCGTGTACTGTGATATACCATTTCCTAAACAAGCTGTGGAACTGCCATTTCTGGGGAAAACGAGTCCTTTTGAATGGTACGTAGATTGCGTATGTGACTTTTTCATGGCTGTCAGCGTATATTCCTGTCTGCACATACCATATGTATGTGGAAAACACCTCAGTTTCAGGAAGCAGTGGGGGCAGTGAGCCACGTGGCCTATTTAAGAGACAAGCTTAAGAAAGTGGTTGTAGGAGCTTTTCTTCCGTTCTAAAACCAAGCCTGATCCAATTAGTTGCCAGAGATTTTGTTTTTGATTGGCTTTTTTTTTTTTTTTAAGATTTTATTTATTTGATAGAGATCACAAGTAGGCAGAGAGGAGGAAGCAGGCTCCCCGCTGAGCAGAGAGCCCCATGCAGGGCTCCATTCCAGGACCCTGGGATCATGACCTGAGCAGAAGCCAGAGGCTTTAACCCACTGAGCCACCAGGTGCCCCTTTTGATCATCTTTCTTAATGCTTTGGGATTTTACTGGTTTAATATATCTTTGAAGTACTTCTGGGGCCAAGTGTAATCATCAAATCTTTTGCATTGCTAGCCGCTGATCTGGAGAATGGCTGGAATCAACACCACGTGGATCCCAAATCCACTTCCACAGCCGCCAGAATAAACTGACCCGGAAGAGAAACACTGACACTCTCCTACGTCACTAACAGAATTTGTTCCCCCTGAGCCAGACCCTGTCAGTGTGTCCTCAGTGGTAGTTTAAAGATGAAAACACATCTATGCATCTCAGTGAAGGATGAGATTTGCCAAATACAATGTCTGAAACGGGATTTGTAAAACTTTTTTAATGTGGACGATGGTCCAGAAATATGGATACAAGTCAACTGCAAGGACGCTCCCAGGAGGCTAAAGTCTAGCTGAGACTGGTTGGGGCAAATGCACAAAAGACGAATAACCGTGGCCGGTATCCGCGGTCCGAGGAGATGCAGGACACAGTCACGCCTTCCAGGTCTAAGAGGCAGGCGAAGGACCTCGAGCCACAGGAACCCAATCCGTGCCATCAGGAAGGCGCAGTTCCTGCCTCCGCCGAACAGGGCCCCTCCAGGCGGTTCCTCTACCCGGATCCGAGGGTGGGCGGCGCGGGGGCCTTGGCCGATTCCGCGGCCTCCCATGGCTTGGGCCTCCGCGGGAGCCGGGACGCCGTGGGTTCGCCGTGGGTCGCCGCGATGTGGCGCTTCTCCACGCCCGGGAGCTCCCGGCCCTGCTGAACCAGCTGCAGGAGCTGCGCCAGGCTCACCGAGGCGGGGGCTGCGTCCTCCGGCGCCGGGCTGGGGCCGGAGCAGCTCTGACCACCCGGCCGCTCCATGCCCAGCCGCTCAGTCCGACTTGCGTGCGCTTCCGGGTGGGGTGGGTGCAACCACCGTCGGAGGAAATGGAGGGGATGCGTAGAGCATACCAAGTCGGCCCAGGAAGGGGGAGCGCTTGAGACCGCGACCGGCTCCACGCAGAGCGCTTCTCTTACACATACACACACCAGCTCCACGCAGAAACCCTTCACACACACACACACACACACACACACCAGCTCCACGCAGAGCCCTTCCTTTACACACACACACACCCCAACTCCACGCAGAAACGCTTTACACACACGGAAAACAGCTCACACCAGAGCCTGCAAAATTCAATCCTTTAGAAGGAACTCGAAGGCTTGCACAGAACGGGCCGTACGTGCGGACACGCTCCTCCTCCTCCTCCTCCTCCTTCTTCTCCAAGATTGATTGGTTGATTGACTGATTGATTTGTGAGAGTGAGTGAGTTCGCCTCCCCCTTCCCCTTCCCCGATTGATTGGTTGATTGACTGATTTGTGAGAGTGAGTGAGCTAGCCAGCGAAGAGCACGAGTAGGAGGAGGGGCAGCGGGAAAGGGAGACGCAGACTGCCCGCTGAGCAGGGAGCCCCATGCGGGGCTCCATCCAGTGACTGGGATCATGACCTGAGCCGAAGCTGGAGGCAGAGGCTTAACCAACGCTCCTTATTTTCTTTTTAAAGTAATCTCTTGGGGCGCTGCTGGGTGGTGCTGCCTTCGGCTCAGGTCGTGATCCCAGGGTCCTAGGATCCAGCCCCGTATCAGGCCCCTTGCTCAGCGGGGAGCCTGCATCTCCGTCTGCTTGTGTTCTCTCTTTCTATCTCTCTAATAAATAGAACCTTTAAAAAAAATTTTTTTTTTTAACAAGTCATCTCTTGGGGCTGGAACTCACGACCCCCCAAGATCAAAAGTCGCATGCTTCTCCGGGGCGCCTGGGTGGCTCAGTGGGTTAAGCCGCTGCCTTCAGCTCAGGTCATGATCTCAGGGTCCTGGAATCGAGTCCCGCATCGGGCTCTCTGCTCAGCAGGGAGCCTGCTTCCCTCTCTCTCTCTCTCTCTCTCTCTCTGCCTGCCTCTTTATCTACTTGTGATCTCTCTCTGTCAAATAAATAAATAAAATCTTAAAAAAAAAAAAAAGTCGCATGCTTCTCCAACTGAGCCAGTCAGACACCCTCAGTACATACCTGTCTTCACACACCTACAGAGACACACAGGGCACATGTAGAGACTCATAGCAAGCGGAACATCTCCGAGCTGGACTCCGCAGCTCCACACGAAAAACAGCTGTGGAGAGATTGCCAGTGGCCTCAGGAGAACTGGGAGTAAGCGACAGTACCACAGAGCCTTGCCACTCTCTCCCCATTTCCTGCCAAGGAGACTCTATTCCAGGTGTTCGCAAGGGGGATGAGAAAAGATGAAGGTGAGCCGGGTGTGCTGCAGTCCCTCTGACTGCTGGCAAAGCCAGTGCCCATAATTCTCAAGTTTCAAAGTTTATTGAAAGTTGGCTTGATCTGGCACACACTGCCTTCACCGTGCAATGGAAGGCTAATTACTATTAACAGAAGGAACTGGCTCCCTGCTTCTCCTGAGGTGATCCACTGAGGAGGATGCTATGGAGATAGGAACACTCTATTTCTTCAGTATTCCTGCCTGAAAGGTTCACTTTGAATCTAGTCTTTTTTTTTTTTTTAAAGGTTTTATTTATTTGACAGAGAGATCACAAGTAGGCAGAGGCAGGCAGAGAGAGAGAGGGAAGCAGGCTCCCCACTGAGCAGAGAGCCCGATGCGGGGCTCAATTCCAAGACCCTGAGATCATGACCTGAGCTGAAGGCAGAGGCTTAACCCACTGAGCCACCCAGGCACCCCTGAATCTAGTCTTGAAGAAATGAACAGACCAAGCAAAGTGAGAGACATTCTGGAAATGACTGGCCTGGATGCTTCATAAATGTCAGTGTCATAAGTGTCTTGGGATGCCCACAAATTCTGATCAGATGGGTGACTGCGGACTCTCTTCTGTGGTCCCTCCATGTCCTCTCTCCACCCTTACCCACCCAGCTTCTGCACACTGACATCCATAGACATCCATAGACATGCAATGGGCTCCCTTAACCTCTGGCTTTGGGGTCTGGCCAGTGGGGTCCCCAGCAGAAGAAAGAAGAAGGTCAGGGTGTTTATTCCTCAGTTTCCCTCCCTCCTGGATTCCCGCTGGCTTCAGGGTCCCTCCACCAGCTCTCTGGTTTGGGAGCCCTGCCACCGCTCCCTTCCCTCACCCCTTCAGGCCTGTTACCAGTTCCAGTACCGCATTGTCACTTGGGATTTCCCTTTACCATGCCACACCTCTATAAATAGTCCCTTTATTAAATTCTTCTCAAATTTCCCTATATGCAAGTGCCCTCTGTTTCCTGCCTATACTGACCAGTAATGGAATTGGCTCCAGGAACAGCCTCAGGCAGAATACTGAGACTAGACTGATCATAAATTCAGAGAGTACAGGGCAAGCCTCCTTGCCGCGGGAGCAATGCACCCAGTAATCCACTGCGTAAGGAGTATGGCCATTACCCAAATTCTTCTTGGGGGTGGCAGGGGTCAAGTGGTGAGTACTGCGTTGTCGAGGTAGGGAAATGGCGGGCGAGATGGCTCTGGTTCATATGGCTGAGGACTGGCACCAGGAAGTTCTCATAAGGGGCAGTGCTAATGAACTGTTAGCACAGGAGTGTGCTCACACAAGGGCACTGAGGGGGAAGGTGTGGGTCTCCGAGAGGAGATGGGGACGTCTGGGCAGACATGTAGTGCCTCTGTTTCCCCGGACATCAGCTTCAGGACTCTTTCCACCTCCAGTCTTCCCTGGCTCTTCTCAAATTAGATACCAGAACAGCCTGGGCAGAGAAGCATGAGGCCCACGCTGAGAGCAGAACGCCCAGACAGAAGGAATTACAGACCTTGCTAAACTCCCTTGGCAGGGGCCAGAACCGTGTGCGTGGGAATGGGTTCTAAGGGGAATAGACCCAAGAGGGTGGAATGTAAGGCTCCATTTCGCCAAACGCAACGCCATGGATGCTCATCCAGGATTTGGGATTTAATGTGTGGGCTCGAGCACCTGGGAGAGGCATCAATCGTCTATGAGGTTAGTTAATTAAAGCCTGGACTTAATGGTAGCCTACAGTTAGGAAACTTGAAATGCCAGAATTTCTCTGGCATACTGTAGAGGAAGGAATCCAAAATTTCAGGAAGGTGGGAATGCTAGATTGGATTTATTATGTGCAACCTGGTTAGCCACCCCTCAGCACATATTTTAATGGGGTCTAGAAAACCCTCCCTTCGCCAAAGCATTAAGAAATGCTTTGGTGAGGGGCACCTGGCTGGCTCTGTTGGTTAAGGGTCTGCCTTCGGCTCAGGTCATGATTCCGGGGTCCTGGGTTTGAGCCTTGAATCGGGCTCCCTGCTCAGCGGGGAGCCTTCCTCTGCCTCTCCCTCTGCCTGCTGCTCTGCCTGTTTGTGCGTGTGCTCTCTCTCTCTCTCTCTCTCTGTCAAATATGTAAATAAGGGGCGCCTGGGTGGCTCAGTGGGTTAAAGCCTCTGCCTTCTGCTCAGGTCATGGTCCCAGGGTCCTGGGATCGAGCCCCGCATCGGGCTCTCTGCTTGACGGGGAACCTGCTTCCTCCTCTCTCTCTGCCTATCTCCTCTGCCTGCTTGTAATCTCTGTCTGTCAAATAAATAAATAAAAATCTTTAAAAAAATAAAATAAAATAAATAAAATCTTAAAAAAAAAAATAGTGAGGGGCTCCTGGCTGTCTCAGTCAGTAGAGGAGGCAACTCTTATCCTCAGAGTCAAGAGTTTGAGCCCCACGTTGGGCGTAAAGTTTACTTTAAAAAAAAAAAAAGAAAGAAAGAAAATGAAAAGGAAATGCATTGGTGAGAGCCACCTGCCTCTTTGACTTGCTCTGATGGCTGTCCTCTGTCGGCTGGAGGTGCTGCTGGGGAGCTGAATGAATCCGTGGAATTATAGTCTACGATCTCAGTGGGAATAATGGTATCCTGGTAACGTAAAGGCCAGGTGGTAATGTTTAACAGACAAAGGCAAGGTAGCTATAATACCTCCCACCTGGGTGGCTCAGTCGGTTAAGCGGCTGCCTTTGGCTCAGATCATGATCCCAGGGTCCTGGGATCAAGACCCACCTTGGGCTCTCCTTACTAGAGTAAGACTCTATGGGGAGTCTGCTTCTCCCTCTCCTGCTCCCCTCTGCTTGTGCTCTCTGCCTCTCACTCTCTTGAGGGCCCATCTGACTTACAGCCCAATACTGGGTCCCTGATTGGCCACAACTTTCACCGGGTTGGGGACAGATCCGACTGGGCCATCTTAGCATGGAAGGGCTGTGCTTTACCCTCATGGGAACAGACACATATTCCAGGTATGAATTCACCTTCTCTGCCTCCAATGCTGCTGTCAGCACCACCATTCTGCCAGCATCAGGCATTCTGATGAAGAATGAATGAATACCTTACCCATCACCGTGGCATTCCACTTAACATCACCTCCAACTGGGGCACGCATTTCACTGCCAAAAAATGTATAAATGAGCTCACTCCCAAGGAATTCACTGGTCTTCCCATGTGCCCCATGACCCAAAGCAGCTGGCGAGATAGGATGGTGGATGGACCTGCTGAAGGTTCATCTAGAACATAACTGAGAAGCTGCACCTGCCAGAGGCAAGGGCTGTCCTACTGGTTGCAATGTATTCTTCTCACCACAACCATGCACGGTCATATAGAGCCAAGACATAGGGGCAGTGGGAGGCGCCTCGCGATTATTCCTCAAGGCTACCAACTACTGGAAGAAATTTTTTGCTACCCATTCCGGTAATGGAATGGACTCAGGGGACTTGGTGATCCCAGTACCCAAGGGAAAAACACTTCTACCATACAGTAATCATAGTACTGATGACTTGGAAGCTGAGATGGCCCCTGGCCATTCTGATCCAATACGCAGAGAAAGGCACCTCTG